TTCCTATAATTATAGAAACCATTCCCATAATTATAGTAACGTTTCCCAAAAATTATGGGTATAATTCCCATAATTTAAGTAATCGCTCCTAAAATGGTATAGGAAAATATTTCATTAAAATTATAGGAATGATTTCCATATTTTTCTCTCCGTGTACAAGGTTTATCCACTTTTATAATAAATTTTGAGACAGCAACGCTATGACAGGATCAATTAACAACAATTTAATAAAAATTGTCACGGAAATAACTTAATATGAAGAATTTGCTATCACCAATAAATATAACAAATCGTGAAAAAGCACGAATTAACATTAAATTCTTTCTGACGATACCCAATTTAATTATTAAAATATCTTCCAAAACAAAAATAGGCTTTTTCATTACCTATAGGCAAATTTCATTACCTTTAATTAACACAAAAAATTTTTTAATCAAGTTAAATTTATTTAAATGAAGAGAAATTTTTTAATGTAGAAAGATTTTTATTATAACATTTTCAATGCTGTAAAAAATTTTGTTTAATTCTGTTAACATAAGTATAGAAATATAAAATTTAATCAGAAAAAATTAAACTGTAAATAAAAAATATATTTAATTTAATAATAATTAGTATTCTACAAAAAAATAATTAAGATGATTCTTTTTCTTTTCAATGTTATTTCTTTCTATAAGAAATAATTGCAAAAATTAACTTAAAATTTTTGAAAAAAATTTTTCGAATAAGCTTTGTAGCTTAGATATAGTTAATCTCTTATTCGTAATGTAACTTTGAGGGCTCAAAGCTTCAAAATTGCGAATGTTTTAGCAATCGACTAAACCTCAATAAATGTGTATATTTTTTTATAACATAAAAAATTAACAAAACAATTTTTTTTTCACATTTTTTACCATTTAAATCTTATCTTAACACGATATCGATTGTAATTTTAATTATAACTTAACTGTAAGTAATTATAATTAAATTAAACTAAAATATTTATAATAACAGTAAAACATTGTGGGAAATAACTCTATACCATAAACATTGTATAATTGTACTTTTACGTGATCTTTTCATTGGCCAATAGGCTGTTAGGTCTATATGTCAATAAATGAAAAAATAAATAAATAAATTTCTTCAATCATAATTAATTAAAATAATTTTGCATGCAGAAAATTTCTATGCTAATAAGTCATAAATATCCTAATTTTATTCTTTTATATTTGTACAACTTTTACAACAAAAAATTTCAGTAGAATTGAAACTTTCAAAAATAAAATAATTGTTTTTATAAAATCATAAACACCAATAAAATTGAAAGACTCAAGTAACAAAAAGCAACCGATTGCTCTTCGGCTGTCACGATGAAGGTAATAAACTTGAAACACGAGTGCTTATAACTTGGCCGCCGAGTAATCTAAAGCTTCTAAAAAAACAGCAGAGGGGTAGTATAGAGTGCCCTCATGAAAGAAGAACCAACATTTCTAAAGTGAGAGAAATAGCTTAATAAGCTACTACTTTCCTCCCCCTTGCCTGACAGTAAGACCTAGAATTATAAAAAGAAGACAGATGAAACCGGGTAAAAAAAAGACTGAGTAAAAATAGAGGACTAAACTGAGGAATGAGAGATGAGGGGTGAGGGGTGAGTCGATGGTTAAGTTGGACGTGTCTGTGCATCCGGGTCGGGTGTGCAAAGTGTGTCGGGTGTGAGTTAAGGTACAATATATACACAGATATATAAAGTAAGGTGGGTAAGATGGCGGACAATTTGCCGCTCGACTACTCTTACCCGCACTCCAACTTAAACTACCACCCTCGACAATTCCTCTCCATCGTCGTAGTTGGTCTGGTCTATGTACCAGTACAGTACGGGTAATAGATGTTCCTCCTTCGCGACAGCTAACGTTTCATGCGCGCGCGTTTAAACTTATCTAATACCACTACATACTCCCCGGCTATTACTATTATTACCCTAAAATTACAACTACAACCACAGCTACAACTACCGATACTTTGTTGGAAACTACCGATCAGTTCGCACACCAATAAGGCTCTTAGGTGTGCATTTTATTGAGATTTATTTTGTGTATCTTAGATTCAACAGTAATCTCATCTGAATTAAATTTAATAATGTTAATTGATTTTATATTAAAAGGTTAAAATTGAAAGATAACAAAAAATTTACAGAAATCTAATAAATAAATAATAAAAAATATTTGTTTGTAAAAAATAATTCAATTATAGGATAAAAAAATTTATTTTAATTACTAAATCGAATATTAGCAAATCCATTTTTGAGCACTGAGTAATCAGTCACTGTTTCAACTGGCGCAATTTTGAAAGTACTTGCAGATTCCGCTAGATAGCGCAGAAACGCTAAAATTTCTCATGCGTAGAAAGCTTAGCCAGACGTTATTATTTCAATTAGGTGAATTAGTTCATTCATAAATTGTTTGCACATATCTACTATAATTACTATCAGTTATTTAGTGAATCCTCTGAATGGTTTTAAAATTTTATAAAATCTTTAAGACTTTGATTATTTACATCTTTAATCAATTTCTTTTTTTTGTTTTAGAAAATAAAACTATCGAAAAATTGATCGAGTCTTTTATGATAACATAGTTTTTTTGACTAGAGAAAATAATTCAATCATATTTTATTCTTAGTTATTGATGATTATAAATGATTTTATGATGAGCATTTTGAATGGTTTTCAGTTTGTCTGTTTTTACAAATAACATTTTCGACGAAGTGATCGAGTCTTATGTTTCGATAGTCGATTAGAAATAGTAAAAAAAATTTATTTTCATTTTGTACTATATATCAAATATAGCTGGTTTGAAACAGTTTTTCATGCATTTAAAAACTTATACGAAAATGATTTCAAAAAAATCTGAATTTATATAATTCGTTTTATAAATTACTAGAAATTTGAATAACGGGCTACGCGCGCGCCTAAATTTTAACCAATAATGAATCGTGGCCCGTTTTTTTGCGAGTTTCGACCTTTGACTAACTTCAAGACTATCATGTATTTTAATTTAAAGGATCTTTTGACTTTTTGAATCCCATGTGTTATTATTAATATATTCATGAAATATTTGTAAGCATCTTCCAAATTTTAAAAGCTAAAATAAACCTTGATTTTCCTGAATCGATTCAAATAGTTCATTATTTTTTGTAATGCTATGAATTTTAAATCTTTGACTCCAAGAAAATTATCTTTCGATGAAATTGTTTTAGGTTGGCGAAT